TTACTCAGCACTAAAGAAAGATGAAATCATGAAATTTGCAGGTAAATGGATGGATCTAGAAACTGTTATACTAAGTGAAGAAACACAGACTCAGAAAAACAAACGATGTATGTTTTCCCTCATATGTGGCTCCTAGCACCAAATCCTTTTTAAATTCCTGGTCCTTTTTATGGGCGGCTGCGCACTCTCTCTGGGCGCAGCCGTATGTTCACTCCCTGCGGGTCCGCAGACTTCCCGGCGGCTGCTTTGGGTCCGCTCCTGGGCTTGGCGGCTCGGGTCCCGCATCTCTGGGAGTGGTGGTAGCTGATGACTACCGCAGTTTCTCTTGCTGCTGAGCTTTCTCTGCTACTGGAGCGTTTGTCCAGTCGAAATCCCGTCCCTTAATACACCCATATGCCTTTCCTCAGGATAGTGGGGCTCCTGGCCACTGAACCCCACAGGGAAGAGGCACGAGGACGGCGAAGCTAGAGTATCGTAGGTCGGTAAGGGAAGGTGCTGCCCTCCGGAGGAGTTAGGTCGCCGGTACACAAGACTCAAAGGCTCAAGGCTTAGTTCTAGTCTGTACAGCTTTATTATCTGAGACTCAGTTCTCTGATATCTCTGATCTCCCTGAATTCCTTGGCCCGGTTTCCCTAGATTCTCCTGGCTATTGAGAGAAGACTAAGATTTTTATACCATGGGGGTTGTGTTAAAAGCCTTGGCTGCTAGATGCTTTTGCATGTGAAAAGTGGGCTTCTGCCTGACAGTTGTCTGCTAGGAATTTACAGGAAGGTATGATACCTTTTCAGAGTCAAAGGCCACATTAATGTTTAGGGCATTCATGGCGGACACCTCAAAAGGAGAGGCAGGAAAGATGCCGGGAAGCACTTTGTTATGCAAAGGAGCCCGCAGCACATCCCGAGCTACATGAGCTATCCGGCGTGAAGAAGCTTCGACTTTTGCATAACAAAGGTCCTTTTAATAAGATGATGCTATACAGCAGTCCCTTCTGCATGAAATAACTACCATCATCACGACTTCTGCTGAGCCTGATTGCTAAACACAGTCACAACTTGGTTTGTTGACAGTTGTGCTCATTCATTAAAGGAGTACCTAGCAGGGTCACTGGACCCTCACCTCATCCAGCCACCTTCCTCATCCAGCCACTCTTCCCAGCCAAGTAGTCCAGCCTTGGAAGACAAAAGAAAAATGAGGAAGAACCCAATAGAGGGATACTTTTGGAAGTCCTTGTCAAGAATCTCCAATGGACTCTTGTATGAACATTTGAAAATTGCCCTGTTCTGACTTTTTTCTAGTTCCCTGTCTAGAACTTGTAATGCTAATTACTCTTGCCTTTACTTCACCTTCACATCTCCTATTCATAATTCAAGGACTTTCTTCGCCCCTTACAGACAAGAGTTATGCAATGTGGGAGTCTTTTAGATAAACCCACTGAAGGTATACCCCAATTGCCTCACCCTGCATTCCTGTTCAGCACAGAAGAAGCCAGAGCAGTCTGCATCCCTATTCCCTACTGGCAATTTGGGTAACCCCCTTCAGAGGATGGCATGATAAGAATAGGAGGTAGGAATTGGCTAGGCAATTAGGGTAAAAAGACCCCAAAGAAATGTAGCCAGTTTCTTGGCTAAAAGTCAAAATGTCCTTGGGCCTGTTAGCAACATACTCTATTCCAAAGGCCAAATTGTCAAAGTATTTGGGAGCTTGTATCTAATCTTTAAAAGGTTTTAGGGTTACCTCTTCAGAGGGGGGAATGTTGGAGGGGAGGGGGTGGGCATGGATTTGATCAAAACACTTTATATGCATGTATGAAATTCTCAATAAAGTTTTTGTAAAAATTAGGAAAAAAAACTCTTTTAGGGGCTGGAGAGATGGTTCAATGGTTAAGAGCACTGGCTGCTCTTACAGAGGACCGAGGTTTGATTCCCAGCACCCACATGGCAGTTAACAACCACCAATAATTCCAGTTCCAAGGAAATCCAACACTCTCTTCTGACTTCCTCAGGCATTGCCTAACACAGGTACACTTACATACATGCAGGCAAAACACTCATACACATGAAATAAAATTAAATATTTTTCTTTTAAAAAAATGATTTTAGAACAGATATGATAACACGTACTTGAAATCCCAGCACTTGGGAACTAGGGCAGGAGGACCTGAAGTTCCAGGCAAGCCTGAACTACATACAGAGATGCTGTCTCAAACAAAAAAGTCTTTGTCTTCATGGGCTGCAATAACAGAATGTGGCAACTGAGTGGCTCAAACAACAAACATTCCTCACAATTCTAGACCCTGGAAGCCCAACATCAAGTTGTCCACAGATTTAGTACATGGGCAGGGTCAGTTTGCTAGCTTATAGACTACTGAGTCTGCCTGTGTGCTCATATAATCTTTCCTCCATTGGCACTCTTGGAAGGAGAGATCTCTCTCTTCATGCCCTTATAAGAGTACTGTTCTAGGGACTGGAGGGTTGGCTCAGTGGTTAAGAGTACTGGTTGCTCTTGCAGAGGACCCAGGTTGGATTCCCAACACCCACACTGTGGCTACATAACAGTCTGTAACTCCTGTTCCAGGGGAATCTGACACCCTCTTCTGACCTCCTTGGGTATTGCATGACATGGGTTCACTAACATACATGCAAGCAATACACTCATACACATAAAATAATAAATAAAATACATTTTTTAAAAAGAGTACTGTTCTGATCATTAAGGTCTTGCCATCACTGTCAACTTGATGGATTTAGGATCATGGTAGAGACACACTTCTGGGCATGTCTGTATAGGAGTATTTTTAGAAATGTTTAACTGAGCAGGGGAAGACCCACTCTGAATGTGAGTGGCACCATTCCATGGCCTGTGGTCCCAGACAGAACAAAACAGATTTTTTAAAATGAGCTGAGAGGCAGGGCTTGGTAGCACACACCTTTAATTCCAACACTCCAAAGGCAGAGGCAGGTGGATCTCTGCAAGTTCAAGGTCAGCCTGGCCTACACAATGAGTTCCAGGCTAGCCAGGGATACACAGTGAAATAAAACACTCAAACAAACAAACGAGCAGAGGTCCAGCGTTCACCTCTCTTTGCTTCCTGACTGCAGATGCAGTGTGATCAGCTGCCTCACCCTTCCATTGCCTTGCCTTACTGACCGTAATAGACTGGATCTTCACTGAGCCACAATAAACCCTTCCTTCCTTACATTGCTTTTGTCAGGTGTTTTGGCACATCAAGGATAATCAACACATTTCCTAAAAGCCCAACCTCAAGTAACCATCACACTGGAGACTAGAACTTCAACATATGAAGGGCAGGGAGGAACCGGACGCAGACTTGCAGACACAGCAGAATTAAATCTTAACTAGGATGTATTACTTTTATTTCCCTGACAATGTGGGGTGTTACATTTCTTGAGGATACAGATAGTGGTGTAAGTCAACATGATAGAGGGGGTTGAAAAGGGAGCTAGACAGGAGTGACTTCGGCTTGCGACCTAGTCCCCCTTCCAGTGTTCTTTCCGTCTCCCACTCCCTGAACTTTATGTGATTTCTTAAAATTTCAAAAGCAGGCTAGTAGGATGGCTTACCAGTTAAAGCCACTTGCCACCAAGCCTGATGGCCTGAGTTCAATTCCTGGGACCCACAACGTGTCCTCTGACCTCCACACATGCTCCATGGCGGGTGTGTGCACACATACATACATACATCATATATAAAATACATAAAGTGGTTTTAAAAAAATCCGAAAGCATGGCAAGAGAAATTAATGAAATTGTACTTTCTCTTCTTGTGAGAATATAGAAAGCTAGAATCACCTTTTAAAAAAAAAATCGTTGTTCAGGAATTAAATATGGATTGGTGCTGGGACCTCCATGTTTTTTTTTTTCTTTGACATCAACAGCCTTGAGACCTCTCAACCCTCTTACCCTGGACTCAGAACATATTCTCACAACTCAAGAAGCCAGTGGGGCAAATTTCCTTATTTCTGAAGTCTTTTTGCTTCAGCATCCATTCGGTTTCTACCTTCCAGTGAGCAAGCATAAAATACGGTGACCTGAATGCAGCTTATTTTCATAAGCGAAGCCTTTCGTCCCCTTTTCCTCTGCGTATCATATAGTTGATTGTGTTAGCGCCTGTGCGTTTCAAAGTACAATCAACTTCCCGGTGTTTGATCAACTAGGCTGCTTTTAGCTCGGTCTGGGGTTTGCACGTGACAGGAATTTGGATGTCCTGTATGTTGCAGAAGATCAATGAGGTTGACTCCGCTGTCTTTCCCCAGCTTTGCGGTGCTGCCGGGAATGGCAGCAGTTAAGCACTGAGAGATGCTAGCGCCGCGTGATGGAGGGAGCTAGAGCACCAATGCAGGCGGGCATGCGCAGCGCGGTAGGCGCTGGTTGCCGAGAGCTGTGACGCGCGGTGCGGCCGCGAGAGGGCGCGAGCTCGACTATGGCGGCGCCCGGGCGGGGAAGGAGAGCGACGGTCCACAGGGGCGATGGCGAAGCTGGGGCTCCGGAGCCCGCGGGGAAACCCGGGTCCTGCGTCCACCCGCAGGTGCAGGCCTCGGCGCGCTACTCTGCCCGGTGTTCCCGCCACGTCTGAACTAGCAGGGTGACCGCGGCGCCCGGCGACCAGGGCGAGCTCCGCCGCGCGCCCACCTCGCGGCCCCACGCCCGCTCCCACCAGAGGCCGGCGGAGAGGCGGCGGTTCGGGGCGCTGCGGCCCGGCACCCACGCTACGCTACGGCGTCCGAATGGCCCGAGGGGCTGCGGGGAACGCGGAGCAGGGGGACG